AATATTGAATCATGTAAATTACAGAGTTTTCAAGTTGGTAGTTTCAAACCCAAAACATACAGGAAAGATGAAGTTTTTTTATTTCAATTTGTCAGTAATATTGAAATAAATGGAAATTTACAGAGTTTTTGTTATGATTTATTTAATATCTGTAATACAACAGCGAGAACTGACAATGCTTTCCAAGAACCTAGATGAGTAACCAAGCACAGCTAAATCTTACTGTGAAATACATACAATATGGTATAAAAATACAATAAAACAGATTTGAATAGATGTTTTTTTGTGTTAAGTGTGTTAAGATATGTGGTATGATATAATGGTAATAAGATAGTATAACGGTAGTTTGCCTCACTGGCAATATGATATCTTTTTTTCACCTATACTTGTTGTTCAGACATTCTGAGGGAGCACGTGCCATTTTAATAATTAATGTCAAGATCATTCTAACATAAATTATGTAGTTTTATTCTTAATTTACATATTCTGTTATCTGAGATGTTTCTTTTAAAAGGTACAAATAGACAGGAATGTTCAAAAATTTGATATATAATGTTTCTTTAATGTTGTTTCTTGTTTATATTCTAAACTTGTTTTAGATTTTGAAAGAAAAAAAAAACCAATACTAAAGCACAACCGAAAAATTGTTAGCTATTAATTATAAATGATTATTGTTATTATTATTACTACACATTTCTATAGCACACAACTACCACATAAATGTGCTCATGTGCGTTTTAAAAAGACATATTACAGATCAAGACAATGGGGACCACGTGGCTAAGTGGGTAAGACGCTGGCTCGCTAGCCTGGAGGTCGGGTGTTCGATCCCTGCATTGGCCGAGAAAGTTCATCCAGATTTTCCCACGTGGTTTCCCCTTGTCGGTAATGCAAGACAGAGGGACTGACAAGGACAGTTGTCTAGTCCTTCGGATGAGACGAAAAACCAAGGTCCCATGTATATATTGGAATGCATGTAAAAGATCCCCTGGCAGTTGGAATTCGATTTAAGAGTAGGCGATAGTGCCGCTGCCCGGGCAAAATTTCCCTCATAGCACACTGTATGGCGTATGCCCGTCTTCATTAGCCCAGTATAGGAGCAGAACAGTAGGACGTTAAACCCCATTTCATTTCAGATCAAGACAATATTACATTTACATAATAAAATGTTTCTGATGGTCGGTATATTTTCCCAGTTAGGACTCCTTGGTAAATGTAATTTTTGTACAAGAAAAAAGTTTTTTGGCGCTGGCAAATAAATGGTCATGCGAAATTTGGGAGCAACGGTGGCTCAGTGAGTAAGAAGTTGGCACTAACCTGGAGGTCCCATGTTTGATCCCTGTGTTTGCCGTAAAAGTTCATTGGGATTTTCTGACGTGGTTCCTCCTTCTCACTGGTGCCTGGCAAGGGACAACATATAGTACTTTGGATGGGACAAAATATTGTAAACATTGGCCTTGCACGTAACAGATCTCTTGGCAGTTAGACTTCGAGTAGGCTGTAGCCCCTCATAGCACACAGTATGGCGTATGCCCGTCTTCATTAGCTCGGTCGGAGCAGAACAATAGGATGTTAAGCCCCATTTCATTTCATTTTCTGGAGTTGTTCCTCTTTGTTAGTGACAATGTCACTACTGCATTACAGGGGACAACGTATAGTCATTCTGATCGGACAAAAAAAAAGGTCCCGTACACAAATTGGCATGCATGTAAAAGATCCCTTGGCAGTTAGAATTTGATTAGAGTAGGCTGTAGCGTGGCTATCCAGGCAAAATTTGCCTAATAGCAAATTGTGTGGTGTATCCCCATCTTCATTTCATTTCATACATAATTGATTTAGGAACTGGTTATTCTAGTACACAAATAAAGAGAAGGGGAAAAAGGCTTCACTCACCACTATGTATTGAATAATTTTATTGTTTGTATTGTGAAAAGTTATCTACAATGTATTGCTAATATATGCTGATATTGACAGTTTTATAGTCATTTACATCAGATTCAAAAGTCTATGAGAATATATCATGATAAGTAAATAGTGAAGCCAGAAAACTACTTTCAAAAACTTTTTACGTAAAGACCTACATTTGTATAGAGTAAATAATAATCAACAAGTTGATACAAAAAAAAGTATGTTCATGTCCACACACGAATAATTGTGCAACTGCAAATTATTTCTTTAGACACTATTTGAATTTGTTGAATAATAGATTTGATAGTCATTAATAGAATTTTTTAAAAGAATATATTATTTCTATCAAACATGTCTGAACAGTATTTTAGTAAGGATCATGAAGGGTCTGTGTGTGTCTGTGTGTGTCCTTAAGAAAAGGGGTCGATATGATAAGACTATATAAAGCCATTTTATAACATGATACCTTTTATCATCAACAGGCCATTATCAAAATTCAGGGACTAAGCTGGTTTAAGTATTTTATTGTGATTAAGTCAAGCATTTCCAATATGTCATGCCTTGCATCTCTGTTTTCAATAGGTTCAATTCAATATAACGGTATTTGTGGCTATTATAGCTAAAGCACCTATACATTTACCTTATAATGAATTAAGAAAAACAGGGTTGTAAGTTCAAGGGAGCATTTCAAAATAATCTACAGGTGATTTTTTACAGATTTGCTACAAGATTAACATCCTTTGTTTCTAGTAGTTATTGATATCTAGATAAAATATACCAATATTTCTTTCAACTTTAAATTAAAAACAGTACTTTGTTTTTCATGATAAATTGGAATTTTTAAAGTGCATTGATCCAGTCATACATTTATAGAGAAACTATTATGCTAATTTCATTGATGGTTAAAGTGGTCATTTTAATTATAAAGTGAATATTGATAGAGTGATTATTAGTTGAGGTTGAAACTGAAGAATCTATTGATAACAATACATGTTTAATGGTTGATTTATGTTAGCCTGGTAATGTTCAGACAATTGCCATGAAAAAAATGATAAGTTTACACGGTATTGCAACAAGAAATCATTTATAGTTCAGCTTGATTAATCTCATACTCATATTGTTTATAAATCTTTTCTACTATTTATTGATTCTTTTATTCATTTGGGCCCTATTGCACAAAGTGTATAGTTGACTTACACACAGCTATTTTGAATGTATAATCAATTATTCTTGCACCCAGTAGTACAAAAGAGCACTACTCACCCTAAATAAACAAATGTTTTGACAACTGAACCACCTCCAGAAAAAAACAGACAAGTAGATAGAGGCGTGTTGGGGAATTGGGTGACAAATAGTATAATGCATGAGCTTTAGATCATAAGGTCCATCATTGAGTCAAGTGCCATGGTTACAATTCCTCACTTGTACCAGACATGGAGTAGGGTCTCCTGGAACTCCAGTATTCACCTTCTTGTAAAGACCACCATGACCTATGCCCAAGCAAATTATTCAAATATAATTGTACTATTGGATATTATTGATAATGTTATCAGTGAATTCTTCTGATTGATTTATTAATATTACAATGAAATAAACTGTCAACTTATAAATTGTATAGAAAACTGAAATGATCATCTTTGACTTCGTTTAATCAATGGTTGTAGCTATGTATTTGACCTCTTTTCATTTATCAATCAATAAATGATATTGGGAAATTGTGAAATAAAGTTTATTTATGTGTGTAAATATATGTCTAGTAAAAACTGTTTGATCTTTTGTCTTATTACTAATACGCTTTATTTGTTTTATTGATTAAAATATCCATAAAAACACACATAACCCTTGTATTATATATTGTTCTAATTAAGTATTCATTTGTCTATTTACTGGAAAACTATTGTCTATGTGAATTGATAATCTTGTTAACGTGTTTGAGATCAATATATGCTACTATTTTAGCAATTGTGAAACAATCCCTCCTGTAATTTTTCAATGAATCACCTGTTAGCGTTATATTCAGTAAGTAACTATGATGAAGGAATTCAACTAGCCATAGTAGCCTCCCCTAAAACTCCCCTCATTGTTTGTATTCATGCTGTACAAGGGTTCTTTATTGACTCTTCGCTATCCAAAGTCAAATGTTTGTACATTGGTGCCCACTTGCTTACTTGTAATGACTTTTTATTGTATGTTAGGGGTGGGCTTTTTGTTTGATTTTCAAATAGTTGACAGTCATGCTTATAAATATATGCATAGTTATAAATTATTTGACCTTTTAGTGTAAAAAGCTGAATATATTAAATGATTTGAAAAAATTCCCAGAAAAAGGAAGAGATTTATAGATTGACATATATTGATTGGTACAGAAATTTGACATGACATAGGATCCACCAGATATAGTTATAATTGTCAAATCCCTGTAAATATATGAATTGTTAAAATATTTTTTGGCAACCCATTTTTAAATTATCATATATATATATATATATATATGTACACCTCATAGAATTACATATAGACAAGGATAGTATGTATTGTTTAATGGTCGAGAGCGAGACATTAAGTAATATATTGTAACAACAAGAGGGCCGTAGGCCCGAGTGTTTTTACAATATATTAAGCAATGTCTTGAGCTCGAGACTATTAAACGATTTAAAATTTAGACACTCCACGTGCTTTTACAGTGAAATACATCACACGAGTCCAATATTTCACTAGTATAAATAATGTACGATTGGCAAGTTGCCCGTACGATTATTTGAAATAATGGGACGCCAACATCAAAGGGTGACGTCACATCTGTATTTTAAATATATATACAGACTAGCTATAGCTATGATCATTTAGATACTACTGAACAGTTATAGTCAAAATATTCAAACTTTTGCCGGGTTCATGATAAAGATATTGCTTTTGTCATATTTGAACCCTCTGCTTATTATAATGTGAAACCAAACAGCACAGCATTTTTGATAACATTATATTATTTTGAAACCTATCCAAATGATTAGATTGGACAGGGTTGATGTTTAGGGTAAGTGGACATGTAAGAGTTATCTCCCATGTAATCATTATTTTATTTTGTCATTCAGGTTAGAATATTGAATAATAGAACATGGCAAAAATTGATAGAGTTTTCACATCCTGCAACTATTGATGAAGAGAATGTGGTGAGACATTTATTTATTAGATTATCAAGCTAACTGCCAATGGGCTTTCATCTTACTTGCTGTCCATCGTCGGCCTGTCCGTTAGCTTTTTACATTTTTGACTTTTCTCTCAAACCATTTGGGTGTTGCCAATTCTGATTTTTTTTTCAAATTAAGTTGAATGGCTCCTTAGGGGTGTGGTAAATTTAGACATTTTCACACATTTTGGACTTCTTCTAAACTGCTAGGAGGATTTTAAACATATGTGATAAACAAGCATGGATGGTACTTTGCAATTAAAAGCATCCAAAAAATAAATGAGGTTCACCAGTGTACTTATTGGCAGGCATTTAAAAGAACCTTTGACAGTTTAAATTAGATGAACAGCTGGCAGAAACATTGCTATCAGAGCAAAAATTCTTTCATCGTAGGAAATGAAATGGATTGTAACGTCTTACTGTTCTGCTCCAACTGGGCTTATGAAGACAGGTGTACGCCATACAGTGTGCTATGTGGGAGATTTTGCCCGGGCAGCAGCACTATGGCCTACTCTTATATCGAATTCATACTGCCAAGAGATATTTTACGTGCATCCCAATGTATACATCGAACCTCAGTTTTCATTCCATCCAAATGACTAGACAGCTGTTCTTGTCATCCGTCCTGCACCACTGACAAGGAGAAACCACACCGGAAAATCCTGATGAACATTCTCAGGCAATTTAGGGATCGAACATGCGACCTCCAGGCTAGCGAACCAGCATCTTGCCCACTTAGCCACTGTGGCTCCCCTCACATCGTAGGACACTGGGTGATGTCGCCAGGTTCTTGAAAAAAAAAATAGGATGTTTAACCCCATTTCATTCATTTATTTAACCTTTTGCCTGTCCGACCATCATTAATATTAGAAGAAATGAATATAATAAGTAATAATGTTTGAATTCCGATTTTCTATTTCTAGGCTGTATATAAAGAGATAGAAACAAAAACACCTTCAGCACCTTTAGATCTAGATCCGCCCACAGCATCATTATTTAATGCACAGAGTAGATGTAAGATTATAATTCATTCAATCAACATACATGTTCTTACAGACTTTTATGGTCTCTATAGTTCTATAACTTGAATCTCTTAAAAGACAACATTGCTGTCTACTAATTTTACATATTATGTAATTAACACATTCCACATATAATTTAACATGGAGATATTTTGGTAAGGATTAATATGTTTAAAAGTTTTGGAGAATCCATACAGATGTTTTTCAGCTAAATGATAATTCCTGTGAAGGCTAAGAGTTGTTATATGAGATTGTTATATGATAGAAGTTCAAAACCAACTATTCATAAAAAAGTACTAACTTTTTCTATTTTTCTTTACTTTTCTGATCCTGTGGCAGTCAGTTCTTTTTATGGATGATAGTGTGTTTCGAACATCTATCCTCTTAGTATCTCGTTTTAACAGGAATCATCAGTCGGTAAAAATAACTGTTTTCCTTCATTTTTGTCACTTTCTGATTCTTCAAAAAAAAATTAAAAATTATATTTGGAATGTGTTCAACCAATTCTATAACAAATGTAAAATTGGTGGACACCCAAAATTGTCCTTTAATTCTCTACTAACATAATTTAATTGTTTTAGTCTTGGCTATTCAGATCATTTGGACATGTTCAAAATAGATCTAAGATTATGTTCAAAATTTGAGACAAATATGTGAATCCATTAACAAGATTTACAAGTCATACAACTTTTAATATTAGTTTTAAACACACATTCACAATACATTGCTCTATGTAGGTCTGTGCAGAGCCTGATGTTACTTTGTATATTATCGGGATCGTCAGATTCAATTTAAAAAATAAAAATTAAATAGCATTGGCATTAATGTGAAAACTGTTTTAGGATTGGTTAAATCTGCATTCCTTTCTGTACACTAAAAGTGACATGCTCAAAAACATAGACTGTCAAACTATTATAAAGCAATTTTCTGCAATAAAATGCAGCAAATTTCCCAATAGAAAAACTACTTTTTAATGTGTTGAAATATTCTCAAGACAGCCCTGGATATGATAATATAATTTAGATTTATATATGATTTGTATAACTATATTATAGATGAATGTCAAGTGTTACCTGTTGAAGTACCAGTTGTTAAACCTAATGTAAATAAAGCCCATCCAAAGATAGGTGTTAGTACCTGTTCCTTTAGTCCAGATAGTAAATATATGTTCACTAGAAATGGTAACTATTATTTTATATACTGAGATGCAATGAAAACGCATCACTGCTTGTAGGCTGCCATTTACCGACACAGGAAAATCAGCAACAACCAATGGATGCTGTAACAACTTTTTTTTTCAGTGAATCATTGGTTCATAGGGCAAAAATTAAAATTCAGTAATGCTGCCGAGTCAGAATTGGTACAATTCAAAAGCCATCTGGAACGCAACCTGGCAACAAACAGTATCAGCACCGATAAACCCATGTGACCCCTCACATTAACAGTAGTGGAAGGAATGGCCAAGATGTCTATGAAGTGTAAACTGTAGATCATAAGATATCTTATATACAAGTCATGGTTTCACTGTCTAACCTCACAAGTCTATATAAGAAATTTTTTTTAAATTTTGAGCCTGTCGCCCGAATGTCCCAACACATGATGGGTTCCAGTAAAAGTACTGAAAACCAGATGAAAGTTATCTAACAAAATATTTATAGCCTATTCATGTAGTATAATGTGTATTTTCAGATAATATGCCTTGTGTTTTATGGATTTGGGAAATCAAAAGATTATCTCTGTGTGCAGCATTAATGCAAGCAGCTCCTATCAAATGTAAGAAATTCAACTTTCTTTGATTAGTATTTAGTAATAAAGTATATAAGATAGTTTCGCATTTTGAAATAAACAGTTTCAGATTTTTTGTCCCCCGCCTTTCGAAGAAAGCAGGGTACTATTAAAATGGGTTAGTCCGTCTGTCCGTCACACTTTGTGGGACACAATAACTCTCTTTCTAATTGAGCTAGAATGTTCGAACTTGGTGAAGGTGTTTATTGGGTCAATGCCTTGATGGAAGTCGAAGATGAGCATTTTCTGCTTTGGGTAAACAAGAGATAAGCAATTAGATTGGTTGATGCTTTGGGACACGATAACTTTAGTTCTAATTAATTGAGAGTAATGAAACTTGGTGTATAGTTTCATTACATCAATACCTTGACTAAGTTCGATAATGAGCATTTTCTGCTCAGGGTAAGCAGAGTGATAAGCAATTTGATTGGTCGAGACTTTGGAACACAAAAATTCTCCTAATTGAGGTAGAATGTTCACACTTGGCGTCGGTGTCTATTAGGTGAATGTTTAAACTTGATGTAGATGTTCATTAGGTGAATGTCTTGACGGAGTTCAATGATTAACATTTCGAGCTGAAGCTAAGCAGAGCTAATCGATTTCATTTGTCAATGGTTTGGGACAAGATAATCTTGATTCTATCTGATAGAGAGTGATGAAACTTAGTGAAAAAAATAAATGTGCGATTAATTAATATTAATTAATTTATTTTGCAATTTCGGCGGGGGACATCAGCCTCACTGTTGGCTTGTTGCCTTATGTTTCTGTGAACCTATGTTTGTTATTTGTAGGTGTTAAATGGGATCCTGTCAGAACAAGATTAGCTTTATGTACTGGTAATAATAAATTATACATGTGGTCACCAGAAGGCAGTTTATCTGTTGATGTACCAGCAGGTAGGTTAACAGAATTTATCACACAGAACTGGTATCTTTTTTTTCTGCAGGGTGTTTATTCCATAAAGCTGGGGACATAGGCGATCAGAGGTAGCAATGTAGGATGTAGGGATTGTAAAAATCAAGCTAATATAGTGAGTTAAATTAAAAAGGTTTATCATTTCGTGTCCTGGATATTTGGTGAATCTAATAATTGCAAGATATTTGCTAAAAATATTGTTTTGAATAAAAAAAAAACCCAATAATTTTCAATTTAAAACATGCCCATTATGATTACTTTGTGTATTTTGATTAATAATGAAGAACTTTGTTTTGTGTATTACAGGTAGATTTAATGTACAGTCTATAATATGGCATCCAAGTGGGGATTCATTACTTCTATTAGATAAAGATATGATGTGTGTACTTATTAATGCAGACAACCGAGAGAGAGAATCTTAAAGGGAGCATGTTATTTGTTCTAATTTATATATAAGAATCTATTAAAAGTGCTTTCGCAAATAATTATAAAATGTATCCATAATATGGAAATTAATAAATTTATTTTTGATCTATCTGTATGACTAGTATGAGTATGTTGTGAAAAGACGAAGCTAATGGCAGACCTATAATGCAATTAAAAATCAGGGAAAAACTAAGTTTAGTAGTTGTGATAGGATTTCATACATAAAAAAATATTGGTTCTTCTAATCAATGTGAGTCTCTCTGAAGCGAGAGATTAGCGATTCAAATTTAGGTTCAAGTACGATAATAAACAAAGTCTTGGTTATCCATTTTTACGCTAAATCATCCATCATGAAAGGTAATCAAATCCACTAGATATCGCAGGCTAACGATGACATCGAGAGTTGATTATGGTCTTGATAAGCTAATTCATGTTTAATAATTTAGAAAACATTTCAGACCAAAAGAAAGACCTGCAAATAAGCAGATTTAGCTCTTGCATGTTTAAGGTATAGGATGGTTGCGATTATATCACTGAGACAGTTGAATACCTCAAATGTGTTCCATAAATCTGTGGGAATCAATTCAGACGGACTGAATATTTTGATTTGACAATTTCAATCAAGGGCGAGTATGTATGACATAAAATGGAACTTACACATGGGCATGCACATGGTAGAAAGATAAAAATGTACCAGTACAATAGCTTTTTGAAAATGTCCTGAATCGTGGAAAACTAATACATGTAATTCCAAATCTTGTTTTTGAACACAAAAAAAAAAAAATCAAAGTTATAAGATTTTAATAAATATTGAAAACATGAACCAATCATATAGAATTATTGATTATGAAAAAGAATTGATTGATACAATCTGTATGGATGGATTTAGAAGTATTATAGACAACACCATATATTAATGCAAATACCACTTGTGAAGATATGAATTCATACAACAGCACACAAATTTATATTATATTCCTTAATAGCAAGAGAAAGGTGCTCAGTTTGATCGTTTCTAAAAGGTGCTTAAATCTTCTTACAAATATTCGAGTGCATGTACCTCTCATAATCCACCTCAATAGAAGTATAAAGTTAGTTCATATACTGTACTAAAAATTTTCAAAATTTCATGTACAATGAGTTTAATAAGATAATAAACCTCATACGAATTCTATCTTTTCTTATAACAGTTGAAAATTGAGATCAATTCATTAAATTAATATTAAAAGAATTCAACAAATTTTAATTGCAAAGTTAACTTGGGTATAGCCATTGGGGTGTGACCTTGATGACATTTGCAAAATTATCTTGATAAAAATAAAAAAGATAGGTTGTCAGGCAACAAAACCTATGTCCACAGCAGCTAAGTTGTCCGGGCAGTCAACAAGGGTTGTCACATATTTTCTCTTTTGTAAGTAATGGAAACATTTACAACACACTAAAATCTGATTACGAGTAACACATTTATTAGTTATCAGAAATCATTAGAATTTGTTTCGATTGTGTATCTCATGAGCATAAACACTGTTAGTATAAATTTATATTAACTTCAGCCTCTAGAACATCTAAGATTTCTCAAGTGATCATAACTCTGGTAGTAATTATCAGAAATTTTTGAAAAGCAATAGGCTTCCTCGTCTCTTTACCGTAAACACTGTGTATAAATTTATTAAAGTCAATCAGATATTAACTTAAGTGTCTAGAGCGTCCATAAGATATTTTAAAGTGATCAAGGGCCATAACTCTGGCAATAATTATCCGAAATATTTGAAAATCAAGGATCTTCTTCGTCTCATGATCGTTAACACTGTGTATAAATTTAAAGTCAAACGGATATTAGCTTTAGCCACTAAAGCGTCCACAACAATAGTGAATGCAGGACCGACCGACGGGGGTGACGGCAAAATATGATCAATGTCGGCGTATAAAAATCAATAAATTTTTAACCTGTAGTAAAATAATAAATCATGATAATTTACAACACTAGTTATGTGTGTTTGTACACCAAAATTGTTATATTTTGCTAGAAAAGATATAGGAATGCCATTTCTATCTACATGTAATATTAATAAAAAACAATTTATATTGAACTACGTGAAAACGACAAGAATACAAATATACTGATATGCAACGTCAAGAAGAATACAAATATACTGATTTGCATTGAAAACACACCAATGACAGTAAGTTTTGAGATAAAATGCACAAGATGTGATTTTTGGTATACCGGTAATTGTATACTGGCATAAACAACTCAGAGACCACAACAACTTTGATTACAGTGAAACATAGGCACCAGGGGTAAAATGAGTCCGAATTGGTCCAATATAAGGTTGCCTGGCAATCTTTCCAGGAGAGCTTTGTCGGCTATGAACAGTAACACTATCAGCACTGATGAATTCATGTTGGCAGCTAAAAACAGCAGCAACGTGCGATCCTAAAGATATTGCAGGATAATGTGCTGATCTTGTAGAGGCATCGTCACTTGTTGCCACCCAGGTTTGTGGCATGTTGTTGCGTCTTCCATAAAACTAAATTCTACACCCCTTTATCTGAATTTGTTACATTCAGAAATGCAAAATTAACAATCATCCATTTTTAAAAATGGTGTATTTTCATTGCGTTTCAGTATATATAGCAAGGAATTTATCATAATAATTAGCAATAATAAAAAAATCTCCATCATTGATAATGGTCTAATTCTGTAGAAATCTAACAATATATAAAAACCAAATTGCATACAACTACAAAATATAACAAATTAATTTAGTTAGCGACAAGGATTTAAATGTGTGGGATTCAAATTTGCATTACAATATAGTTCAAGAAATTAGAAAACAATGATTTAACCCAATTCAATTTTGAAAACTTGTTGAATATGGTTGGTTATTGAATGCACAGATTTATCAAAAATTTAAAATAGAAAAATCAGATTTGTCAAACTTCTAACTTTTGTATTTTATATTTGTCAAAATTATCGACTATCAAAAAACCTTGAGATATGTTAACTCAGTTAATTATTCCCCCTTTGGGCCAGTCTAAGACATTTCCTGAGTCAAAAATGAACAACATCATTTCTCAATTTCAATGAAATCTAAATTGTCTCGTTTCAGTTTTTATCAACAACTCCCAAGAAGAATAAAATTTACAAAACAAAATAATACAATTTAGGGAAACAGCACACCAGTTCAGAGCAAGGTTAATAATATTGTTAGGTTTCTCAAACATGAACAAATAAACAGCACTATAACACAATAACTGAGTAATGACAGCTCAACATACAAGGTGTGCATTATCAATTACTAACTTTCTATGGTTTACAATTAAACACAAACCAATCTTATACTGTTAGTCGCATGAATGGTGTCCATATATATATACAAAAGCAAAATCATAACAAATATATATATCTATACATTAAACAACAATAACAATTAAATTATTACAATTAGGTTATTGAACTGATTGATCTCATTTAGAATCATAAAGTGAACTTTAAATAAATATGTTGTGTTTTTTAAAAAAAATTAAGATTACCTCAAATGCATATATTCAACAAAAAATCCTTAATTTGGATTTGTAGGAGGATATTTTCATAGATAGTAATGACTCCTAAATGTTTTTTTAAATGCACAGATAAGGAAAATAATACCAGTTCTTGTTACTTGTTTTGCAGACATATTTAAATCCCATTAGTTGACTTTCTGGACCTGATTGATATTTAAATATAATAATATCCCCCCTGAGACAAGACATTTCTCCGAAATAATCAATTATGCTAATAAGGTGAATTATATTATTATCTGTTTGATATTTTAGACATGCCAGACCAATTATAAGATGCACATCAAATCAAAAACATAGCACACTTGAAGAGTTAAACAACTTCTTAAAGTACATTATATGTACTTATTACCAGTGTATTATTCTCATTACATACACCATGATATATCACAGGCATTTAAGCTTTTGTCGTTTAATATCAAGAAAGAATTAGACCCGACAAATAGGAGTGTTACTTGAAATTTTTTATGTTGGCTCTGCTCATCAACCATTAATTTAACCAAAGTATATCTGAATCCTTATGATTTCAGATTAATTTGCACATCAATTTCTTGTTCTATAGTCCATTAATTTCTCTGATATAATGTGATTTATTTCAAGATATCAATTGTTTTGAATAATGATTCTAATAAAAGATTATGCCACTAAAGGATTATTATTTTAATAAGAAATGTTATGTAGTAATAAAGGTTTTGATAGATTTATAACATGAGAATTGCTCTATTTGTTATCAAAGTTCACAAAATATAATGCATGAGCAAGAAAAACATAAAAATAATATATATTCAATAGTAACGGATCAATGATTGCATTAATACATTTTAATACACTGCCTAAGGCACCAGAAATCATGGGAATGAATCCCTAGCATAGAGAAAGCTATCATGCCTGAATAGGTGTGGCTGTCGACACACTGAATCACTTTAAACTGGCTTTACCTGTATTGTAAAAGTTTACAAAATTTACCAAAGTGATTTAGAGAGTCCACAAACAATGTTTATTTGAAATGAAAAAAGAAAGAAATAATTTATAATATTTTACAGATTTCTAAACAAGCTACTAAATAGAAACAAGTAGCCTGTTTAAAAATTTCAGTAATTTCTGTTTTGGAATAAGTTGAATCAATGTCTAAAGATTCAAAAGCTTATTCCATTTCTATCACGGAAAAAGCCCATACCACTATCATTGTGTACGATAGTAGCGATATTGGCATAACTGTTAATAAGTATGGGACCTTCTACGACTGTTATCTTCTCTCCTGGTCGTTTTTCTTCGTAAGCTTTACTGATGGCCTGAAGCAAACTTTCATAAAACTCATCAACATTGTAAGTAGTTGTTTCATTTTCTTTAGGATTGTAGAGGACTGGGTGATGGGCAAAAGTTAACCAGGGAATATCTGTACACCATGGATTCCAACGCTGACCAAATGTTGGTTCCGAGCCTTTATTCCATCTAAGCTGTACTCCACCATGTTGTCTGTCACTAATAGATACAAAATGAAAATAATAATACTTTATTATATTCTTCAAAATGTATTTACATTTGATCACACTCGTAATTATTTAACTATTGCACACAGTAATTTATATATCAAGTCTTCACATTTTTGGAAGTTCTACACGTCAAGGGTTCTCAGTTTTAAGGAATTGCTATGCCTTTCCTTTGTAAACTTTCAAGAGAGAGAGAAATGGGGTTTAACGTCCACTCGACACAAACTAGGTCATTTCGGGACTAACATATGGTTTAATTTTATTTCAATAATTTGCTTGTGCATAGGGGTCTTTAGCAGTGGGAGGAAACTGGAGGACCCAGAGAAAACCCACGAAGTTGGACAGACGACCCTACTCCTTGTCACGTACAAACGGGGATTCGAAACCACGCCAGTTGACTAAATGACAGGCCTTATGATACAGTGCACACGTGCTAACCATTTGGCCATCGCCCCCCCCCTTTTAACCTTTAAAGATTAGCAATAAAAAGGTAAGTAATTGTTATTCCATATAGTTATTTTTATTTTATTTAAACTCAAAATTTTCTTTCTTTTAAAAACTTATGGTTATTTGGGTACGATTGCAATTGTGGACATCTTAATTGTAAAATGTTTCAGATTTCTGTAAGGCTAATATCTAGGATGATGTTGAGGAGGCTGTATGCGAAATACAATAATATAATACTTACGGCATTATAGAATAGTCAGGGTATTTGAAGTCACCAATAGCTATAGTATCAATACCATGTAACATTACTCTACGGAATTCATATAAGGTTTGAGTTATAAAGTTATATTTGAATACCAAGACAGAGTTCTCAGTTAACAGTACCACTTTTTCTTTTTCCATGTTCCAATGGTCAATTCTACCAATAAAATAAATAAATTATTATAAGTAAAAGTCTTTAATGAAATATGAAATGAAATGGAAGGCTGTATGTAGTTTTGTAGTACACATTTGTCATCAACCATTTACCCTATTATTGGTATTAAGAATTAAAGCGGGGCCACGGTGGCTAGTTTGTTAAGACACTGGCTCGCTAGCCTGGAGGTCAGGTGTTCGATCCCTGCATTGGCCGAGAAAGTTCATCAGGATTTTCCGACGTGGTTTCCCCTTGTCAGTGGTACAGAACGGAGGGCCTGACAAGGACAGCTGCCGAGTCCTTCGGATGAGACGAAAAACCGAGGTCCCGTGTATATATTGGAATGCACGTAAAAGATATAAGAGTAGGTGATAAAGCCGCTGCCAAGGGGCAAAATTTCCCTCATAGCACACTGTATGGCATATGCCCGTCTTCATTAGACCAGTATAGGAGCAGAACAGTAGGACGTTAAACCCCATTTCATTTCATTTTAACAATTAAAGCAATCTCCAGGTAAGTAACAGAAGTGCAATATTACTACTTGATATTGCCATGGACCTTATAAGGTCCATTATAGCATTGGCTACTATATACCTCCCCTGGAATATTATAGCTAAGTCCTTAACTGCAACAAGTCATACTTTCAAATTTGCGCCTTCAAATGTCACCTCTGAGCATGCATGCTTCCAGCAGAGATCAAAGCTTTTAAGACCTTCATTTACAATTGGCATTGTTCGTCTTCTATAAGCTTACTTACACTTTACAGAGTCAGTGAATTTTCTTTTTAAATTTAATACGAATGTTTGGTTACACATTTAAACAAGAGCATCGCTAACGCAGCAATATACGTCCACATTCCTGTTTTGTTTGATATGGTCCAGTTTGCATTGAGGGTCTGTGAAATAAAACTGGGTTGTAGGACTGCTATCAGTTTAACGTTTCGTTCACATTAACAGAACACAATTTTTATTTTAAAACAATCGATGTCTTTATTCTAAAAGCATGACGTTTAGAATAGGTATCCCCATTTCAAAAGGATCGGTTAAGAATTGCGGCCTGTAGGCAAAACACAAGACACACAAACATTAGGCGTGACTCTGTCCCAAGGGGTTGAGCATGCACCAAAAATAATAATAGAGGCCAGCCTTAGGATTAAGGAATAAGTGTAAAAACGTAGCCTTAGGCTATAAGGAATAAGTCTAAAAAAAATTTCAAGATGATCGATTAAGAAATGCGGTCTGCAAGTGACACACAGACATAAAAAAAGAAAATGGGCGTAGCTCTGCCCCTGGGGGTTGGGTATTCACCACAACTAATAGGGATGTTCCTTAGGATAGAAGGAATATGTATGCTAAGTTTCAAGGTGATACGATAAGAAATGCGATCTGTAGATGACAAACAAATAAATAAATATAAGGGATGGGCGTGGCTCTACCCCTGGTGGCCGGGCATGCACCAAAAACAATAGGGATCATACTTAGGGTATAAGCAATTCATATGAAAAATTTTCAAGACGATTGATTAAGAATTGTGGCCTGTAGGTGACACACAGACATAAAAAGAAAAGAAAATGGGCGTGGCTCTGCCCCTGGGGGTAAAAAAACAATAGGGGTCATCGTTAGGGTATAAGCAATTCATATGAAAAAATTTCAAGACAATTGATTAAGAATTGTGGTCTGTAGGCGACACACACACATAGAAAAAGAAAATGGGCGTGGCTTTGCCCCTGGGGGGTGGGCATGCACCCAAAACGATAGGGATGTTCCTGAGGGTACAAAGAATAAGTATGCAAAGTTTCAAGATGATACGTTAAGAAATGCGGCCTGTAGACGACAAACAAACAAATACAAAAATGGGCGTGGCTCTGCCCCGGGGAGGCGAGCATGCACTAAAAACAATAGGGATCATCCTTAGGGTATAAGGAATAAATATGTAAAGTTGATACGTTAAGAAATGCGGTCTGTAGATGACAAACAAATAAATAAATATAAGGAATGGGCGTGGCTCTGCCCCTGGGGGTCGGGCATGCACCAAAAACAATAGGGATCTTCCTTGGGGTATAAGGAATAAGTATACCAAGTTTGAAGAAAATCCAGTAAGAATTGCGCCCTGTAGGCGACACAAAGACACACGAAAAGAAAATGGGAAATGGGCGTGGCTCTGCCCCTGGGGGTTGGGCATGTACCCCAAACGATAGGGATGTTCCTTAGGGTACAAAGAATGTGTATGCAAGATTATAAGTTAAGAAATGTGGCCTGTAGACGACAAACAAACAAATACTAGAAATGGGCGTGGCTCTGCCCCTGGGGGTCGGGCATGCACCAAAAACAATAGGGATCTTCCTTGGGGTATAAGGAATAAGTATACCAAGTTTGAAGAAAATCCAGTAAGAATTGCGCCCTGTAGGCGACACAAAGACACACGAAAAGAAAATGGGCGTGGCTCTGCCCCTGGGGGTTGGGCATGCACCCCAAACGATAGGGATGTTCCTTAGGGTACAAAGAATGTGTATGCAAAGTTTCAAGATTATTAGTTAAGAAATGTGGCCTGTAGACGACAAACAAACAAATACTAGAAATGGGCGTGGCTCTGCCCCGGGGGGTCGGGCATGCACCAAAAACAATAGGGATCTTCCTTGGGGTATAAGGAATAAGTATACCAAGTTTGAAGAAAATCCATGAAGAATTGCGCCCTGTAGGCGAACCACAGACACACACACACACACACACACATACATACATACACACACACACACACACACACACACACACAGACAGGGGCGACGGCATAATACGTTCACATTATGAATGTGGACGTATAAAAAGTAGTCTATTGAAATGTGGATTGATAAATTGTATCATCAGGTGGCCTATTAGTATATAATCTGCTGATTTTTTGCACACAATCTAACTCTTTAAGTAATACTAATATGAACAAGCAAGATCCAATCAAAATATCAGTCCAATTTAAAACAATTTTTCCACCGATTCCCAACATTCACCTGGACGTCAGACCACAGCCATGCCAAATATGTGTTCGGATACTGGGGCTAAATATTTCAAAGTATAAATCATAACAAAAAAGGTCATATTTGCTAGTGCCAGTTTTAACCAAAATTGATCATTAGTTTTGTCAAATCAAACCTGGTTTAATTTTTATGAAAACGAAAAAAATTGTTACTGTACAGTGCAGTTGGCATTACGACTGGTCCCCTGTATCCATTCACTTGATTTAATATTTGTTGTTTATTGATGGTTTGTGTAGTGTGTGTCTTGTCTGCAGGTTATCGGTTTAGTTTGTGCATAGTGTGATCCTCCTGTACTTATTATGACGGAAGTCAATAATCAGCAATACAATTATATATTCAAAATACAAGAGGGTTTTTTTTTACTTACTCTGCCAATAGCCATTCTCCGAGAATTTTTCCATCAAGGTCTGGTTTCACTTGATTTCTACATTCTTGAAGAGCTGTCTCAAAATTCTGTCCCTTGATATAAATTGATAGTAAAAGGTCTGAAATTCTCTTAGCCAATGATAATTATTTGTTTCTCACTGTGAAATTTTTAATGCTTGTGATATCTTATATTTCTTTCAAATCACAATATTGTACATGCCAAGCACCACATTAAGACCAGTAATTACACTGAAATCTTCATGGTTCTGCAAAAGTATCTTTACATTCTCAATATACACTTAGGCCCGCTTTACATATACATGGTGTTATCATGTGGTGACTGAACGTAAACAATGTCGCGTTCAATGCTGTACAGAAAAAAATCCTCACTTACAATGCATTTACGTAGGATGCCCCATACTTTTCAACTATTGTTACGTACACATGGAAATACACAAAAAAACGTGGTGTTTTTCCGCTGACAAAAGTGTGTGCATGAAAAGTGGACCTAACAGTCACGTCACTTCCTTTAAAAAAACATTCCCCTTGTCAGTGATGCAGGATGGAGGGCCTGGCAAGGACAGCTGTCTAGTCCTTCGGATGATATGAAAAACCGAGGTCCTGTGGATATACATTGGAATGCACATAAAAGATCCCTTGGCAGTTGGAATTCGATATAAGAGTAGGCGATAGTGCCGCTGCACGGGCAAAATTTCACTCATAGCACACTGTAAGGCATATGCCCGTCTTCATTAGCCCAGTATAGGAGCAGAACAGTAGGACGTTAAACCCCATTTCATTTCATTTAAAAAACCAAGATCGTAAAATACTTCAATATTCAGATGTGTTGTAAAACCTTTACCACCACATGGTGTATAAAATATATGTTCCTTAATATTCATTGCACAATAAATAAAATTCAATCTTGTAAAATTAATTAGATCAGTGAGCGTCAATAAAAAAATGTCACAATTGTTAACCCCCAAACATATACTGATGTCCAAAAGAAAGTATACACTGTGCATTTTGTCCTGCTTCAAACAAAGTCTTTTTCCATTGTATGCGGTATTTGGGTACAATGTCCATTTGTTTTGCCTTTTATTTCCTTAGAAATATTGAGTTTGGACGCACGAGACATGTTCAGTGTAGTTTTATCACATTTTTTTTATCTAAACAAAACATAGTCATATTTTTAGTGTGTATACTTTCTTTTGGACATTAGTATAGTTGGTTATTGTTGGTTATCGTATATCGACATTTACTTAGACAAAGTTTTGAAGACAATTTAAAAATGTACTGATTTTACAACAGAGGGTTTTTTTTTATTGTGGGGATATTTAATAGTGTAATTGATTTTATTAAGCAACAAGAGCAAACACTAAGTGTAGCGGTAAATATTTTTTATAAATTATTTATTATTATTATTATTGGTCAGTTTTGAGAACCTGGTATGTAAAACTTGTTGTGTGGACAGTTAGTACCGTAGTAATGATATTGCTAATCTTTCAAAATAAAAGTACATTTTTTTCACTAGGCCTATAGAATGAAAAATTTATCCAAAAGACAGAAACTATCCTCTTGGCCACTGGTTTTTAATCTTAGTGATGAGAAATGGGTGATTGATTTTAAGTGGCCTTAAAAAATAATTGTGTTTATTAAGCTCTGCCTTTATGACCTAACATTACTTAGTCTACGTTGGCTGAATGTCACATGTCTATTTAGGATGTGTTGAAACGGAATGGATTATTTCGCAATACTGCATAATGACCTAGTAAACTTAGTTATTATTTATAAGCTTACATGACTAAGACTTGTTTTTGATGTGTAGCTGAAAGATCTGTCATAATTCATGATATGACCAAATATATTTCAACTTATTAAAACATAATATGAAAAATATAAATGAAATAAAAATTCATCAAATTTAAACAAACTTGCCTTGTAGCTAAAGAAAGTTTTAGCAACAACATCTGATTTGATAAAATTTGGTCGCATAGATGTACGACTTGAAGTGCTTGATGTACTTCTGCTGCCAATTACGCTACCAGGGCGATTTCGAGAAAGTCCGGGTCCTGCGTCGTCATGTTGTTGTAAATCATTTGATGTCGTAGATGTCCGGGTATTGCTTTGGTCACCCCCAGGTCCAGCAAACGCAACTTTCGGTTGGTCTGCTGCGTTTTTATTGCTGTCATTAAGTTCTAATGTTGCACCAACGAACTGGTCTTCCTGTGCCGTCTTGTCTTCTTCATCTAATGGAATGACTTGTTGTCCACCATCAGCCGAAGCCGAGTTAGTTTTCTCAATTTCTTTCCCATCGGCCATTTTGGAATCCAACTATTGGAGTTATCTTCCCTTGCAAATGACGCCAGGTCACGTGCGCGAAATAAAAGACGTATACGTCATTGGACCGACTGTTCTTTAGAAGTCCACTATCTCTGATTTCTGAACAGTCAAATTTGAGAATTAGTAGGGAAACTGCTGTCTGATGACAGCACAATATGTGCTACGTACGTAACGTAATCCAAGTGCCAAAACGTCTGTAGGCTATGGCTATATGCAAATGACTCGATTTTTTCATATTATCCATTCGGACAGAAAGAAGGCTAAATAAATTGTTTTTTCATTATCAATATCATAGGTTTTTTTTTAAAGATTTAGATTTCAAAATTGCTGGGATTGCAGTTTTGGCTGGACCTTAGGAAGAACTCCATCAAAACTTGCGTGTGTCCCTGACTGTAACTCAAACAGGAGCCCGTCCATTAAAATGATTATAAGTAATATAAGTGTAAGTAAACAAGATCAACATTCATGTTATAAATATTGGAAAAAATAAACAAACACATATTTGGGTGATTATCCCATGGGTGTGCAAAGTTGAATGTTTTTGTGACACTCGAGTTTTTTTCTGGTTTTTTTTCCTTTAATTTTAAAATTTAAAAATATTGCATGTAACTCCCATTTATTTTTAAAGAAAATTGGGATAAGAAATTTGGATTTATTTAATAGTTTATACATTTTATAAGATCAGACATTGGAGAGCTGGGGCCCTGTGGGTATGCTTTTCAATGTCACTAACACTACATGTAATTTTCAAATTGTTCTTTACTATATTGATCAAAAAAATAATCATGCCAATCAGGGCGCATAAGCATCTACTAGGACTATTGTCAGATTCGGTATACAACAGAGTCGTTAGGTATGGTTGTAGAATCTTTAAAATTCAAATTTTAAATTGTCACTATCAAAATGCTCAACACCGTAACACTGAGAGTTTTCCCGCAATATAACTTATCTACTGAGGCGAGGGTCACTTCACCACGTGCCACCGACCATCTCTGTCAGTCTGGCCTGTCCAGCTTGAAAAGAGCTCTGTTAATATTTTAGATTTAAAGGTAAATAAAATCAAAGTTCTGATTTTGCTTGCGTGTATTAATTCATAATCAACACCGTAACGTGGTTTTCTTGCATTTGTAGTCGATTTGATAAGAAACAATGTATATATTTGAATTTGAAATGGTGTACAGATACCTAATATACGTTAACGGCGTTTCTCACACATGCGCTCTTGGCTCAAAACATCATAAACTCCATGGTTCTCAACACCGTAACGCTCAACTCCGTAACATTAAGTTTAGTTACGGTGTTGAGAAACCGATACGGTGTTGAGGTTTGGTTCACCAACGCTTAAATTAAATCTTATCTTATCAACACAATTATGTAGAATAACATGTAGTTCCTCTAATATTTCACCGGAGTGGATATTCTCCACTCGGATGGCAAACATCCTAGAACAATAAAGATAGTTATTCGCCATTCGTTTTGTACAATAAACTTAACATTCGAGTAGATTGCTTGTACTTTAATGGAAAATACAGAATCCGAATCCCTTTCTAATGGTCATTTGTTAATTGAAGGGTGATAGTGTAAACAGACGTCCTCGTTTATAGCGAAGCGAAAGATAGAGAACCCGACATTTTGTATAGATGGGAGTAGCAGAAATGTGAGAAGTTTCATATTCTATGATGAAAATGTGTATCTTACTAAACCAGGAACATTGTAAAACGCATTTATTTGTACTGTGTTGATCACAAATAAGATAAACTATAAACCTAATCCAATTTCATTCCTGTAGAGCGAAAAAGGCAGGTACTATTGGAATGGGCTGCCTGTCTGTCTGATCCGCCCACCCCACATATTTCATTGTCAACCTCAAATTTTATCTGCAACCTGTATATTTGATCTCTTACCATATATTTCATTTACTACCAATCAGGGCCGTAACTAGCTCTGAGCAACGGGGGTGGAGTGGTGGCGGTGGGTGGAAGGGGAAAGTGTTCTCAGGGGTGCTGTAAAAATAACGGACAATGTATGTCTAGGGGGGCTTCGAGAAATTTCCTGCACTCTGGGCAGCCTCGTCAATCGTCTTTCTCCCTTTCACACGGAAGAAATCTGTAAATTTTCATGCAAGACCCCTCATTTGAAGAAAACTTGAGCAGAAAACCTCAAAATAGCACTCTTTGAAGATCTGAAAAAGGTAAAAAATCCAGAAATCTGGATAAAATCCGTAAACACTGAGAATCCGATATCAAATATACCGATGATTTGTTTTGCACATGGGGCGAAATTTTTTTATGGTCGACCAATTTTAGTTACGGGCGTGCTACCAATATATTTCATTTCCAACCGTGTGTTTTATTTGACACCCGTATATTTCATTTACTACCCATCTATTTCATTTCCAACCGTGTGTTTTATTTACCACCCGTATATTTCATTTACTTCCCATACATTTCATTTCCAACCGCATGGTTTTTATGCCAACCGTATAATTAATTAGTGTTAAATCAGTATTTTATCAAGATTTTAATGTGCTCCCGGGAATATCGACCAAATATTCAACGAGTTTTGATTGTGTCTGGAATAAAATGTTCAATAAATTACGTGTTCTTGAAAGGTTTAATATATCAAAAGGGCTATTGAATATATTTTTGTGTAAAGTAGCAAACTGTTATGTAAACATACTTTTTTTTTTATAATGTCTAATATAAGGTTATTGTTTATTATATAAAGCCACCAATTTATAAATATCATTCTGAGCATTATCATTTCGTATAAGGGCATATGTTATCTCAACACCGTCACATAATTTCAACACCGTCACGGGAATTCAACACCGTCACAGAGTGTAAAATCTCTCATTGCTGCTTTTTTTTTAAAGTTAAAGAACCATTTTATAAGTGGACAGAAATATTAATTGATCAGTCTGTGTTACTGAATCAAGAAATCAAATACAAAATCATGTTTTTAGTGCGCTACACTTTAATACAATTACAAAATATGGAGCGTTTTGAGGTAAGTGGTATAAACTACAAATTACAGCAAAGAAAGTATGACGATATGAAAAGAAATATTAAGTGTAATCCCCTTCATCTTTTCAGAAGGGTGAATGTTTTTGCGTTTTCTGGTTAATTTAAAATATTTTTTGACTATACAATACCGTTACGGTGTTGAGATTTTGTAAAACACGTTCCACTAAAAGCTTAATTTTTTGTTTTAAAATTCTAAAGACTGCATGTCAATTCATAACATAGGACGTAGAAGATACTACTTGTCGAAACAAAGTCAAAAATGTATCGCTTCGAGATGGTTCAATAATGCGGAACTCTGATACCATGAATGCACACTCACGAGATAATTACCCATTTATGGCAACTTTTCTACTCTCTTGATCATTTCCTTAGGTCACATTAATATAAAATGTCCAAACTTATCCTTAAAACCTTTCTTTATTGAGAGGACTTCTTGATGTAGTATATAAGTTAATTGTTTGAAAGAATGGGGAAAAACACCAGATATTTGGATAATACGATACATAATATAGCCTAGGTCATCAACATAAATTTTGTCTGGTTAAAGCATGGACCTTATTATAAGTTCCATGGTTAAAGCTATACCTAGATTTCGTTTCATGATAACAAGGTAAGTTTATAAATTAACTGCATTAGGGTCAACCCATTCTTCTCTCATATAAACACGGAGTAAAGTTTTAATTTGCATAGTTAACATCAAATCCCCGTAGCAAAAAATCTAAACAGTCAACCCCCTACAAAATTATGATGAGGATATTGCCAAATGGGGTCCCCATTGTGCCTATAAAGATTGGAACCAACGGAATGTTGAGCAAAAAGCTACAGCCTGTGATGTTACAGCCATTTAACATTGAAGTCAATGGGCAAATAATTACTAGTCTGAATCCATCTTAGCGTACCTAAATGAATGGAGTTATCTCCCGTTACCTATTATTTCTTCGTTGGGCTGAATGCTTTCAATTTGTTAATCCTTTGTAATTGTTTATTATTACTTCTCCATAGGCGTAGGAGCCAGGGGGGCAGGGGGGCAGCTGCCCCCCTAACTTTCGGGCAAGCTGACTTTTCGGGCAGACGGGTAAAGTGAAAAAAAAAATATTTCATCTACTTGGCAAAATAAAGTGCCCGAAATCTAATAAAACACTAATTTTACGTGCTGGAATAGCAGTAAAACGCGTTTGCGGCCGTCAAATATTCCAAAATTTTCTTGGGCGGTCCATACAAGGTCAGCTCCGCTTCTTCGTCTTTCGAAGAAAACCTTCGCCGCTGTCTGTAAACCTGAAATTTTTCGGGCATTTCTAATTTTGCTTCCCTAACTGTCATCGAGCCCTAAAAAAACACTAATTTTACTTTTCTTTTAATTGAATACCACGAATTTGTACTGAGTTGACTATGGATTAAAACATTTTGTCTGGAGCCACTCTAATTTGTGCGACATTTTTCGGGCATCGATTATTATTTGTGAATGCAGCTGCAACAGTCTGATTGGGTGGTTGGCATTCAGAGTGCGATTTCGGTTACAAAAGCATTGGATACTTTTGGAGTTGCTTACACGGGCTAGAATAGCAGAAAACGCATTTGCGGTGGTTAAATTTTCAAAATTTTCTCCGGGAGGATGGGTGAGGCCCCCATACCCCGCGACGATTGACTGGTTGTTTGGAATTCGGGTCAGCCAGGTAGGCTATATTGGACCAAATTGAAGTTGCTGTATTCACAGGCTGGAATAGCAGTTAAATTTTCAAAATTTTCTCCCAACAATCCCGTCTCCGTGGACTGTGAACGATTGATTTGAAGTTGCTTTGTTCACGGGCTGAATTACCAGGAAAACGTGTTTGCAGCCGTCAAATATTCCAAATTTTTCTTGGGGGAGGGGGGGGGGGGTCCATGCAAGGTAAACTTCGTTTCTTCGCCTCTCGAGGAAGACCGGCGCCGTTGTCTGTAAACCCGAAATTTTTTTGGCATTTCGGGTTCTGCCCCCCTAACTGTCATCG